GGGGCCCAGGACCCCAGAGATGGGGCTCTCAGACTCACCTCCATCCCATCACCCTGGGTAATGTAACCTTGGCAAGCTACCATTTTCCTTTTAAACTATCAGGCCCAGGTGCAGAGAAGGCTCTTACCCACCTGTGGGAATTCTACCTGCCAAGGCTTGGGGGAGGATATTTTAAATTGTGGTAAATGAAGTTACAATGAGCCAAACACAGCCTCCACCCTCCCCTAGGTCCCCAGCAGCCCTGCCCCCAGTTCACAGATGTTTGGGCAGGAAGTCTAAAACCTTCAGAGACACCTCCTCTGGGGAGGCCTCCAGGTTTGACTCCAGGCCACAGGGAGCATTTCTGTCTTTCCTACCCACAGCACCAACTTCTCCAGGAGCTGAGACCCTTTGCCCAGGGAGGCCCAGGGAGCTGGGGGGGACCCCAACACACACTGCCGGGCAGGTGGCCCATGGCCCTTTCACACATTCAAGCCAGTGGGGCCGATGGAGCAGCCCTGTGGAGTAGGGAACCAAGGCTCTGGGGCCCCAGGGAGGATGAGAGGTGGGGTCTGCCCTAGACCCTCGGGCTTCCAGTGGGGCCCTGATGCACTCTCTTGGGTCCCCTCGTGCTCAGGGACATTTATCAGACCGGCACAGTCTGCCAGACAGGAAATGTCCTCTGCTTCCTCTGCCCCCGCCCCAGACTGACACCCAGGCCCAGCCAGGCTTGGGGAGGCGGGACGACAGGGACCATCCCCCCAAGAATGGGCAGTGCTCTCCAAACCCCACCCCCTCTCAGTCCCAGCCTGTGACTTTCTCTTGTTAACTGCCCCTGGGTGGGGGAGAGAAGGGTGAGACCTCAACCAGGGGAAGCAGCTCAGCAAGCTCCCCTCCCCCGTCAGCGGGGCTGCTTTGGGGCAATTCAGGAGAGGTGCCCTCCAACCTCCCCACTCCTGTGCCTCTCCTCACACTCATCACCCTCTCCTGTGATGTGACAGCAGAGTGCCAGCTCTTGAAGGCCAGATTCCTTGCCAAAGGCCCTTTTGTGTCTACCTCCGCCAATCACATTTCCAGTCCCCTGGTCCCCCAAGGCCAGTCTCCCCCACCCCCCACTGTCAGGCGCCCTGTGAGTCAGCTCCCGGTGAGCAGGGCACAAACTTCCTCCCTCCCAGGCCTCCCTGGGGACCCTTGGGGCAGCGGCAGCCTCCCCCTGGCCAACCAGGGTGGGGGCCCACATCCGGGCTGGCCCCCAGAGGCTCCAGGCCTGGCTCACAAGGAAGCCTGCAGCCCGGCCCCCCTTGCCGACCCCTGACAGGGTGGCGTGGGAGGAAAAATCTTCCAGCCATCTGCTCAGCTGCCGTGTTTCCGGCCTGGGCGAGCCGGGGACGCCGCCAGGAGGACCTGCTCTCCTGGGGAAGTGCCCCTTGCCCCTGCCGGGAGGAAGGATGCTGGGCTGAGCAGCCAGTGGTGGCCGGGGGGGAGACCCTGGAGCCCTAAACCAAGGAAAGCTGGTCACCCAGGCCTCAGGGCCTGAGCAAGCAGTATCCAGCTGTGGCCTTTGGATCTGCCTAATTCCCAAGGGACCTCAGGCCCCCGGAAGCCAGGGAGCTGGGGTACAGGGCTCCTGGGTCCAATTAGGCCTGACTCAGCTAGTGACCCCAGCTGAGTCACTTCCCCTGGGCGGCCAGCCCGCCTCAGTTTCCTCAGGGAGGAGGGGTAGCTGGGAACTCGCAACTTGCGTTACACCTTTGGACTCTGTGAGGCGGACTCCTCCTGCCTGCCAGACGGAAGCAGCTTCCGGCCCCTCCCAGCCCCAAACGCCACACAACCAGGGCTCCCTAGGGACCCTTTCCCAGGAAACCCAGCAATTCAGTGCCGGCCCCTCCTGGGCATTAACAGCAGTCGCTCACTTACTGAGCGCTGATTATGTGCCAGGCTCCGTACCTGCCTCTTCTCAAAACAACCTTGTTGTGAGTGAAGTCATTTGTACTCTCATGTCCTAGAGGAGGAGACCTGTGGCTCAGAGGGCTTAAGGTACAAGCCCAAGGTCACAGAGCCATAGAAATTACCCCCAACACTCTGCCAGGCTCACACACATAGAATATGAGCTCACATACAGGCTCACAGAACCTGGAGAGGCTGGGAGTCTCGGCCCCCGATGGGCAAGTGAGGCCCAAGGTCGTCAGGTAACTTGCCTGAGGCCTCACAGCTACAGGCTGGCAGAGCCCATATTTGGCTTCAAAGCCCACGCTGCTACCAGGGAGAACCGGGGTCTTAACAGGAAAGGCCTCTCATCATCATCATCATCATCATCATCACAACAACAACACTATTGTTAAGCGCCAGGCCCAGTACTAGGTGCCTTGTGCACCCTGCCTCTGCCACTCAAAGGGGGTGGGTGCTAGGACAGGCAGTGGGAGGTGCCTCCAGCCCCACCCACTTTTGACCAAAGGGAGGTTCCATCTAGGAGGTGGAGGGTGTCCGGGTAGCACAGCAGGGCCCAGACATCCAAGGGGCCCCATAGGCTGAGCTGCGTCTGGGCTCCCTACCCAGCACCTGCTGGAGTGGCTCTCCAGACTTTGGCTTGTATTAGAAAGCTCCACCCTGGCTGGTGCAGCTCAGTGGATTGAACACCCACCTGTGAACCAAAGGTGACCGGTTCGATTCCCAGTCAGGGCACATGCCTGGGTTGCAGGCCAGATTCCCTGGTGTGGGGAGCACAAGAGGCAACCAGACATTGATGTTTCTCTCCCTCTCTTTCTCCCTTCCTTCCCTTCTCTCCAAAAATTAAATAAAATAAAAGTAAAAAAATAATAAAGTTCTATCAGAGAAAGCTCATGCCCAGCATCCAGAAGAGTGGGGATGGGGAGGACCTGATAGGAAAACCAGCAGAGCTAACATCCACAACAAAGAGTATAATAACAATTTCATCATTATTACTCCTCCTCCTCCTGATCATACAGTTGTAAACACTGGTGAATTCACATATGTATGGTCCCAAGGAAGCTAAGAAGTAGGTAGACTCCCATTTGACAGATGAGAAAACTGAGGCTGGCATGGTTAAGCGAGGTCTCATAGCCAAGGAAGCACCAGCTACTCAACCTGCTTGAGTCTTCAGAATTCTTCTCCCCAAGACTCAGGGAGCCCGGAGCTGACCATGCAGGAGGTACCCAAGGCTCCCATTAACAAACGCTCCACAGCCCATAGCTGGTAACACTGGTGCCGGCAACCATAACATCGCCACCTCCACTTCTAATCGAACCCCTTCTCTGGCAGGCAGCAGGTACTTCTCACGCACTGGCTCCGTTAGTCTCCACCACAAATCTGCTATTACCCCATTTAACATAATGGGAAACTGAGGCTCACCAGTGCCACCCCCCCCCCTCAGCTGGAAAGGAGGCAGTGAGAAAATCAAATCTAAGCCTCCTGGACACTCCACTGCCACTGCTGAACCCCTGAAGGTCCTCAGTCCAGCTCCCTTCCCTGCCTTGGCCTCTGTAGCCCACAGGGACTCCAACAAGTTCTAGGAATGTTCACCCTTTGGCTCAGAAGGGTTTTCCCTCCCCAAGGGGGGTTGTGGGAAAAGGCTCAGAAAAAGTGTATTAAAAACCCTTCCAGTTTCCCCAGCAGGCCCTGGCCTCTCATTCACTGACCCCAGGCCGCTCAGGCGGCCTCTGCCTGCTCTCCCCCCTATTAGGGCTGGGTCTCCAGCCCCCACAGGCGCTGAGGAGCCGCCAGAGCCGTTTCCGCTCACTCTGGCAGCCAGGTCAGTGACGAGAAATCCAGACACGACTTGAGCCCACAGCCCTGGAGACCGATGCGCCCACCACCCTGGCAGGGGCCCTGTGGCTGGACTACAAGTGGGAATGCAGAATGGGCGGGTGGCCCCAGCTAAGCCTGGCAGCGGGCGGGTGTCAGGGGATGCTCACCTCCCAGGCAAAGGGGGCGCAGGTTTCAGCCCCTCCTGCCCCCAAAGCTGGACCGTGGCCCTGTAGACATTGCATCGCCAGGCCCTTTGCTCTCAAGCCCCTGCCCACACCCCAATTTCACTTCCTCCCTCTAGGTCCGGCCTGGCCAGGCCCCTCCCTGGAGGCCCCCAGCTGCAGGCAGTGACCTCCTCACCTACATCATCATGGCCCCGGGAATGGGGAAGAGAAACAGGGGAATGAGGAAACTAAAGAGAAAAAGCAGCACCAGGACAAGCAAACACAGTTCCTCAAATGCAGTCCCCATCATTCCAAAAGCCCCAGTGGCCGAAGGGAGGGAGGGGTTTCTTCACTCAGCATTGAAGGCCTCTGAAATACCCTCCCAGCCCTGCTGACCTATCAGTCCAATGCCCCACACCCCACCCCACCTTTTCTTTGGTGGGAAAATTCCCCTGGAGCCCCAGGTCCTGGTTGTGAGGGTCCATGCCCAAAGAGACCTGGGCTCTAGGATCCCCTAAGCCTTGTGGACCTCCAAATTCAGTGGCATGGGGGCATCTGACCCCGCTTACCCCCACAATGCAAGAAGTAGGGAGAGGGGCTTCCCAAATTAGGGTGCTACCCTACCAGCCACATGGCCTGGCCTGGGAGCGGGAGTGAGCCGAGGCTAGAGGGCTCTTCTATTCCCACAGCCTCAGTTGGACCACTTTCACTTTCAAGGTACCTAGCGGTGACCCCCCCTCCACCCTTCCTCATGGATCATAAGTTGAGGGGGACTGCTGCCCTCAACCGGCTGGGCTGAGGAAGAGGCGGACTGGCAGTGTTGGCCATACCCTCTCAGAGTCTCCCTCGCCGCCTGGGCTACCCCCATTACATCCCCAGCACGTGTGTGGGTGGGGGTGTCACTGGGAGGGTGTCGCGGGCGCTGAAGATGGGTCACCTAGGGAACGCCCCCATCCGAGTTAGGTGCGGGACAATATTTTAGGCTGTTGCAGGAGTGCGCAGACACTGGGCAGAACTGGACACGGGCCTCCTCTTCCCCCATTAAAGCCCTCCCGTCCCCGAGGACGCGACCGCTTGGGAAGGCGGGCTTACCTGAGAGAGAGGGGGTCCGGGCCCGGCTGGCCCATGGCGTCGCGCGACCCTGGCCCCACGAAATCCCGAGGGGGCGGGCGGGCCCCCGCCCCGGGCTCGTTCCCTCTGAGCGCCGGCTCCTGGCTCTCGGCTCGCTCAAGCGGGGCTCAGGCAGGAAACCCGGGCTCGGAAAATGGCCAGCGTCTCATCATTTCCGCCGCCAGAGCTTGACAGCTGTGGGGGGATGAGCCCCCGGGCCGCCGCCGGGGAAACTTTGCTGCTGCTGCCGCCGTCGCCACCGCGGGCCGCGATAGTCCGGGCGGGCCGCCGGGCGGAGGCGGTGGCCCGAGCCCATTCCGCCCCGCGCCGTTATGTAAAGAGGAACCGGCTGTGAGAGCGCAGCCCGGCGGGGGAGGGCGACCACGGCAGGGGCGGGGCCTGGGCGGGGCCACAAGATCTCCGCCCATGTCAACCGCGAGCCAGACTCAGCCCTAAGGGGCTCGAGCCGGGCCTGACCCCGCCCATCAACCCGTTTCTCCCAGGCTGACCTGGTCTTGGGGTCTCCAGCGTGGCCCGGCAACAGGAGGGGCGTTGTTAGGCCACGCCCACATCTCGCCCACCCGATTTCGCAACGCGCAGCCTAAAGAAGGGAAGGAAAGGTCCGAGGGGCGGGACGACTTTGGCCCCACCCACGTAGCGCCCACAGACCATCAAGTGCCTCAGCCATCGGAGGCGGAGCCAAATGCTGGAGAGGCGGGGCATGGGCGGGGCATGGCGGGCGGGGCCGGGCCTAGCTGCCTAGCCTGGAGGGGGCGCGCCCCCTCCAACTCCCTCCTGCTGGGCCTTATCTGCGCGCTCCCGGCCGGTCGGTGCAATAAAGACCGCAGCTTTCATCATCACTCAGGGAAGGATCCCAACCCCACCCGGCCCGGATCATCCGCGTCTCTGTTGAGCCGACCCGCCACGACTCCAGCACCCCCATTCTGATTCCGTCCCGACCCCCTGTACCAACGGGCCTCTATAGGAACACTGGTCCCCCTACTCCAGGAAGCTCTCCTGGACCGGCTCCCATGCCCTCTGAGCCTGCTTCTATGCTCTCCCCAGGTCTACTTTCACTTTCTGTACATGCTTTATGTTGGGGGAGATTGACAACAGGTTCTCCCCTAGTCTGAGGTGGAGCATAGCCTCAGGCAGCCCTTCCCCCAATGCATGGGAAGGAGAGGAGAGAGGAATGCCTACACTTACCTCCCGCCCACACAAGAAACAAGTGGCTCGCGCATCTAGCTTGCAGAGGCCACATCCCCCCTTCCCAGACACCATACTCATTCCTCCATTCCACTGCCTCCCCCGTCTTACTAGCCTTGGGCAAATGACTAGATTTCTCCATACCTCAATTTCCTCATCTGTGAAATGGAAACAATACAGGTACCCACTCCACTGGGTTCTGGGGAGGATTAAATGAGTTCATGCATTAAAGCAGTTAGCGTGGGACTTTGCCCAGGGGAAAACACTGCTACATGAGTCTTTCTGAAACTATCAAGCCTACTCCTGCCCTTGAACTACAGGAAGGGGTTCCCCTGAAGGTGGGGATTTCCAGACTCCACCCAAATGGGAAGAGGGGGACCTTGGAGCCCCATAACCTTGAAGGAACTGGCCACAAACACGTGCTTTCCGCAAATCTGTATTAAATACCTACTGTGCATGCACTGCTGTTTTAGGTACTGAGGACACAGCAGTGAACAAGACAAACACCCCTGTGCTCCTGGAGCTGACATTCCAGGGGGGGAAGAGCATAAAGAGGTGAATGGGGTACTGTGTTATAAAGATGACAAAACAGTTACTTGTGGAGAGTGGGAAGAGGCTCACACTGGAGGCTCCGAGAGGACCTCTCTGAAGAGCCAACTCTGGAGCTGAGGCCACACCTCCACCCCATCCCACTACTAAAAGGATCCAGGCCTGATAAGGTTCGAGGGAAGAGCATTCCAGAGCCACGGAACAGCCAGTGCAAAGGTCCTGAGGGGAATAAGCTTGGGAGTGTTGGAGGAAAGTCAAGAAGACAGTGATGATGGGAAAAGATGGGAAAATGGAAAGGTGAGCCCGTCATATGGAGATGGCAAGGTCCTGGTGGTGAGTTTGGGAATTCTTTCGAGGACAATAGGGAGCCATGGAGTGTTTTGAGGAGGACCTGCTGAAGCTCAAATCCTAACTTTGGATTTGGGCTGTTGGCAACCCATCAGGAGGTGCCCCAGTGATGCTCACACTCCATCTGAGGATGTGGGATGGGGGTGGAGGGTGGGGAGGGGGAAAGGTGTCAGGGAAGGCTTAACTATTCCCCCTATATTATTATCTCTTTATTCCACTTGGGGAGACAGAGGCTCGGAGAGAGCACGTACTTGCCTGCAGAAATACAGTGCCAGGTGATGCCAACAGAGCAGCCAGGTACACAGCCGTCGTCAAAGGGTCGCTGAAGTCTGCCAGCCACAAGCACTTTCCCTCTCACTGCCCAGACGGCTGTTCTGCTGACTTAAATGGAGACTTGTGGTTCTTCCCCTTTTTAATCACCGCGCACGCCTTCTCTCTCGCCAGATTTCTCTGAGGCCCACAGTGGTTTCCTTTCTCCCTGAAGTTCTTCTCACCAGCGTCCCCTCCAGCGTCCAGTCTCCGGTTTCAATGTTCTCTGTGACAGAGACGTCTCACTTGCTGTTTTTGTCTTTCCTTAGAAAGGCAAAGGGTTATAAGGAATACCCCTTCTGTCTTCTCGCCTGGCCCTGGATTTGAGAGCATCGCGGCTTGGAGCAGCGATTTCATCTTCTCGGAGGCTGGCGGTTGGTGGCTCCTCCCCCTCCGCAGGTCGCTGGGCCCCAACAAGAGAAAGAGGCTTGAATTCCCCCTGAAAACAAGCAAGGTGGGCTGAAGGAAGCTGTTCCCACCGTCCTTCCTTCCAGTGGGTGAAGGCACCTGCTGCCTGCCAGGTTCCAGGTGCTAAAGGCTGTCTGGGCTGAGAACAACAACAAAAGAATAGTTGATAAACACTTACTAATATTATTAATAATAATATTAACCTTTAACAATAACAGTAACAAAATGGAAGTTAAACAGTGCAGGATTAATAATAAATGGGTTAACAATAAATATAATAATAATTATTATTATTATGTAACAACAGTTAATGACTAATGAATAATAATAGAATTACAGGGTTAATAGGAAATATAAAATAATAATAGGATATTAGTAGTTATAATAAATAGGATAATAACAGTTAGTAGGCTTAGGATTAATAGCAATAATAGGAACTAATGGTTACAGGATTAATAAAAATAAATATAACAATAGGTTGGTAATAACAATCATAAATGTAATATAATAATAATATAGTCATCGTTAACAGTTCTAGGACTAACAACTCAGCACTTAGTTTCAGGATTAGTAATAAATATAATGATAACGATTAGCTGCGACAGGATTAACAGTGACAGATATGACCCTATCATTATGGTAATTAACAGATACAGGGTTAATAATATAATTAACAATTTCTGAGGCTTGCTTGAGGCCAGGCACCCTCCACACTAGTACTGACAAGTGGAACTTTCTGTGGCGATGGAAGTGTTTTATCTGGGCTGTCCAGTACAGTCACCGGCCACGAGGCTACTGAGCACCGGAAGTGTGGTTAGTGTCACGGAGGAATTGACTTTGTGACTTTATTTCATGCTAATACATTGAAATTTAAATAGCCACATGTGGCTGGTGGCCACTGTACTGGACAGCACAGCTCTGGACATTTTATGTGATACCACATTTGATTCTCACCGCAGCCCTAAGGTAGGTGCTATCATTTTTATAATTGCCCCCATGTTACGGTAAGGAGACTGAGGCACTGGGAAGTGGAGGTGTTAGGCCTGAGCAGAGTCTCCCCACGCTTCCAGGCAGGGTGCCATTGTCGAGGGACCCTCTAATTAAGAACGAAGACTTGCCGACTGGGGCGGCTCAGTGGGTTTGTTGTCATCCTGTAGGCTGAAAGGTCACTGGTTCCATTCCCAGGCAGGGCAAATGCCTGGGTTGTGGGCCAGGTCCCCGATGGGGGCATGTGAGAAGCAACCCATGAATGTTTCCCCCTCACATTAATGTTTCTCTCCCTCTCTTTCTCCTGTTCCCTTCCTCTAAAAATGAGTAAAAAAAAAAAAAGAAAGAACAAAGGTTCTGGGGTCATCCAGACAGGTTTATAATCCCGTTTGGGCTCCTCCGAGCTGGGTAGTCACTTGGACTCTCTGGGCCTCTGTTTCCTCACCTGCAAAATGTGGACAATCACAGGGCTGACCTCCTTGGGTTGCTAGGGAGAATTTGATGAGAAAACTTATCTTAAGGGCTTAGGAGTGTAGGTGGAAGTTCCACATAACACATGCTCAATGAAGGATGTTGGTTTAATTTTATTTATTTGAGAGAGAGGGGAAGGGAGGGAGAGAGGAAGGGAGAGAAGCACTGATCGGTTGCCTCTTGTATGCACTCCAACCAGGGACTGAACCTGCAACCCAGGCACGCACTGACTGGGAATGGAACCAGTGACCCTATGTGACCCTTTGCTTTGCAGGATGATAGCCAACCAACTGAGCCATATCGGTCAGGGCTAAAGAATGTTGGTTGAATTTATAATTGGGCATAAGAGTCAAGTCATATGTTCTTCAAAGAGTGTGAAGAGCGGTGGCCAGGGAGAGTAGCCCCGAGGGTGGATGCCCCCACACCCATTTTACTGATGAATACACTGAGGCTTGAGTATACAGATTTGCCCAAGGTCACTCAGCCAGTGAGTGGAGGCCTTGTTGTCCACATCTGTACACGACACTTCTGGAAACTGGTCCCCTCCCTCCTGAGAATGAAGTCTGGGCCACCTGTGAGGAGGCCTGAGGGCCTACTTTGTCCCCTAGCTGGGCAAGGGCTGGTAATTGGACTGAACTTTGCTGTCCCCCTAAAATTCATGTGGATATCCTAATCCCCCAAGGTGACAGTGTTAGGAGGTAGGGCCTATGGAAGGTGATGGGTCATGGGGGGCAGAGTCCTAATGCACCAGGTTGGTGCCCTCATAAAAGAGACCCTAAAGGGGCCCCTCTCTGCTTCTGCCCTGTGAGGTTACGGCTGAAAGCTACCATCTCTGAACCAAACAGCCAGCTCTCACTAGACACTGCATCTGCTGACCCCTTGATCTTGGACTTTCAGGCTTCAGAAGTGTGAGAAATAAATGTCTGTTGCTTCTAAGCCACCCAGTTTATACGGTATTTTGTTACAGCAATAGGAACAGACTAAACAGAAAACTGGCTCTGAGAGAGGAGGGTGCTACTATAACAAATACCTAAAACGGTGGATGGAAGCAGCTTTGGAACTGGGTCATGGGTAGGGGCTGCAGGAGTTTTGGGGTGCATGCTAGAAAAAACTTATATGGCCCTGGCTGGTGTAACTCAGTGGAATGAGCACGGGCTACAAATCAAAGGGTCACCAGTTTGATTCCCAGTCTGGGCATATGCCTGGGTTGTGGGCCAGGTCCCCAGTGAGGG